GATTTACTCTTATGCTTTATTTGAGGAGTTTTATACTTTTAGCTCCTACATTTAGATATATGATACGTTTTAGTTAATTTTTGTGTATGGTGTGGGGTGGGGGTCCAAATGCATGGTGGGTATAATGTTCTATAAATGTCCATTAGGTCATTTTTTAATTGAATTTATTGGGGCGACATTTGTTCACAAAACCATACAGGTTTTAAGTGCACAACTCAACAAAACATCATCTGCACGCTACATTGTGCACCCATTGCTGCAAGCAAAACCTCTTTCTGTCCCCATTTCTCCCCCTCCCCTGCTTTGCGCACCTTACTACCCCCCCTTTCCTCTGGCTATCACCACATTGTTTTCTGTGCCTATGTGTTATATATACATAGGGGGTTTTTTGCTCAATCCCTTCTTATTTCACCTAGCCCCCCAACCCGACAGCTGTCAGTCTGTTCTATGTATCTATGCCTCTGTTTATATTTTGTTCGTCAGTTTATTTTGTTCACTAGATTCCACATATAAGAGAGATCATATGGTACTCGTCTTTCTCTGACTGACTTATTTCACTTAGCATAATACTCTCCAGGTCCATTCATGTTATTGCAAAAGGTAAGATTTCCTTCTTTTTACGGCTGAGTAATATTCCATGGTGTGAGTGGAATACACACAGCTTTTTTATCCACTTACCTACTGATGGGCACTTGGGCTGCTTCCAGATCTTGGCTATTGTAAATAGCACTGTAATGAAATGAGGGGTACACATATTCTTTTTTAAAAAAAATATATCTTTATTGATTTCAGAGAGAGGAAAGGAGAGGGAGAGAGAGAGATAGAAACATCAGTGATGAGAGAGTCATTGATTGGCTGCCTCCTGCACGCCCCCCACAGGGGATGGAGCCCACAACTTGGGCATGTGCCCTGGCCGGGAATGGAACCTCGGTCTCCTGGATCGTAGGTCGATGCTCAACCACTGAGCCACGCCAGCTGGGCCATTTGTTCACTTTTTCACCNTTCTTTTTAATTGGTGTTTTGGGTTTCTTTGGATATATTCCCCAAAGTGGGATTGTTGGGTCAAAAGGACTTTTTTGAGGAAACTCCATTCGGTTTTCCACAGTGGCGCAGTCTGCATTCCCGCTAACAGAGCACTAGGTTCCCTTTTCTCCACATCTCTGCCAGCACTTGTTGTTTGTTGATTTATAGCCATTCTGACAATTATGAGGTGATATCTCATTGTGGTTTTAATTTGAGTCTCTTTGATGATTAGTGACAGGGGGCATTTTTTCATATGTCTGTTGGACACCTGTATGACCTCTTTGTAGAAGTGTCTGTTCAGGTCCTTTGTCCATTTTTAAATTGGATTGTCTTCTTTTTGTTAAGTTGTATGAGTTCCTTATATATTTTGGATTAAACCCCTATCAGATACATCATTGGCAAATATGTTCTTCCATATAGTGGGCTCCCTTTTCATTTTGTTGATGGTTTCTTTTGTTGTGCAGAAGCTTTTTAGTTTGATGTAGCCCCATTTGTTTATTTTTCCTTTGTTTCCCTTGCCTAAGGAGATATATCAGCAAACATACTACTACGAAAAATGTCTGAGATTTTACTGCCTATGTTTTCTTCTAGGATTTTTATGATTGCACGTTTTACATTTAAGTCTTTAATCCATTTTGAGTTAATCATTGTATATGGTATAAGTTGGTGGTCTAGTTTCATTTTTTTTTGCATGTCTGTCCAATTTCCCCAACATAGGTCATATTTTTTAATCCTGTAGTTCAAACTGTATATACATATCTATTTCATAGATTTTGTTTTGCCTTTTTGTTCTATTGAGAGAGTTGTTAAAATCTCCTATTACAGTTCCTATTATACCCTCCTGGCGAATTGAAATTTTTATCATTATCAATGAACATATTTATTTATCTTGTATTTTTTGCTTTATTTTTTAATTATTATTATTTTTCATATGTCTTTATTGATTTCAGAGAGAGGAAAGGAGAGGGAGAGAGAGATAGAAACATCAATGATGAGAGAGTCATTGATCAGCCCGCAACCCGGGCATGTGCCCTGACCGGGAATTGAACCCTGATCTCCTGGATCCTAGGTCGACGCTCAACCGATGAGTCACGCCCGCCTGGGCTCGTATTTTTTGCTTTAGATTCATGTGGCTTAATAGTAATATAGCTGTACTCTCTTTTGATTAGTTTTCGTGGTATTTATTTCCCATCCTTTCACTTTTAGTCTTTTCTTATCCTTGTTTTATGCATCTTTCTTCTAACTAGTGAATTATATTAAATCAGCTGCAAAATGTCTTTTAACTGGAGCATTAGTCCATTTACATATAATGTAATTAAAGATATTCGTAAGTTTCTACCTCCACTTTATTTTGTTTCTTCTGGTTTTTATTCTCTTCCTCCCCCCCTTTTTTTAAAAAAATTTATTGATTTTAAAGGGAAGGAGGGAGGGAGAGAGGGAAGGAGAGAGAGACAGAGAGGGAGGGAGGGAGACATCAACTTGTTGCTCCACTTACTTGTGCACTCATTGGTTTCTTCTTACATGTGCCCTGACAGGAGATCGAACCCACAACCTGGCGTATTGGGATGATGCTCTAAACAACTGAGTCACCTGGCCAGGGCCCTTCTCTCCTTTTTTTGAATTAATTTTTATTCCTTTGTTTTTTGGACTAATTTAGAAGTTATATTCTCTGTTTCTGTTGTTTTAGTTGTCTCCCAAGGAATTATAATAGGCATTCTCAACTTATTATTGAAGGTTAATCATTACCTTTCCTCTCTTGCCAGTACAGGTACCTTAGACCCTGTGATTCCATTTGTCTTCTCCTGACTCAGATGTAGCTGCTGTCATGTATTTTAGTCGTGTGTATGTGTGTGTGTGTGTGTATTTGTTGTTTAAATTTATCTTTATTGTTGAAAGTATTACAGATGTCCCCCTTCCCTCCCTCCCCCCATTAATTCCCTCCACCTCGTATCCACCCCACCCCCAGGCCTTCCCCATACCAATGTCTGTGTCCATAGGTTACGCATATAAGCATGTAAGTTCTTTGATTATCTCTCCCCATCCACTCCCCCACCCCCGCCTTCCCTCTGAGATCTCTCAGTCTGTTCCATGCTTCTGTGTCTCTGGGTCTATTTTGTTCATTAGATTCCACATAGGAGTGAGATCATGTGGTATTTCTCTTTCTCTGCCTGGCTTATTTCTCTCAGCATAATGCTCTCCAGGTCCATCCATACTGTCCCAAAGGGTACGAGATCCTTCTTCTTTATAGCTGCATAGTATTCCATGGTGTAAATGTCCCACAGGTTTTTTATCCACTCATCTACTGATGGGCACTTGTGCTGTTTCCAGATCTTAGCTATTGTAAACTGCACTGCTATGAAGATAGGGGTGCATAAGTTCTTTCCGATTAGTGTTTCAGGATTCTTAGGATATATTCCTAGAAGTGGGATCACTGGGTCAAATGGCAGCTCCATTTTTAAATTTTTGAGGAAACTCCACACTGTTTTCCATAGTGGCTGCACCCATCTGCATTCCCACCAGCAGTGTACTAGGGTTCTCCTTTCTCCACACCCTTGCCAGCACATGTCGTTTGTTGATTTGTCGATGGCAGCCATTCTTACAGGTATGAAGTAATACNACAACAAACACTTGTCATTCATTGAGTTCTTTATATATTTTTAAGTCTCACATGACATTATTTTGTTTCATGTAGTTAGTGTTCATGTAAATTTACCCACATATGTATTACTTTTTTTAGCTTTTTATTTTTATTTTTCTTGCATCCCAGACCTCTTAGTCGTCATTTTCCTTCTGCAAGAGGTACATCCTTTGGTATTTCCTTTACTGTGGGTTAGCTGGAGGTGAGTTCTGTTTTGGGTTGTCTATGACTACATCCTCAAATTGTGTTAGTTCTACTTTGTTTCTTTTTGAGATACAAGTTGTCGTTGTGTTTTTGTTTTATGACTTTTGGGGAGTACAAACATTTATAAAATTTTACCCTAATAAGTTACTTGGGATTGTAGCAAAACTGCTGGGGTCTTTCTTTAATAAATTGCTCCTGTTTTCAAGATGTTGTTGATATAGTTTTTTTAGTCCCTAACTGGTTCCCTTAAACTTTATTTAAGTGCCACTGTCATATACTCCATGGGGTGGAGTATTCCAGGTACAGTGCCTCAAACTAATTGAGCTGATTGATGAGGGCCATGAGGCCTAAAGCAGAACTGTTACCACAGTGCTCTTACCAGGTCAGTGATGTCACCCAAATTTACTAACCATCCCTAGCTGATGACAGCCATATTTTAAGGTTAGTTTGTGTCTTAGTTGTCTCGGGTTGCCATAACAAAGTACCATAAGGCTAGAAGGCCTAAACAACAGAAATTTATTTTCTTACAGTTCTGGAGGCCTGATGTTCCAGATCAAGGTCCACCAGGGTTGGTTTTTGGGAAGGTTTTTCTTCCTGGCTTGCAGACAGCTCCCTTCTTGCTTCCTACTCATATGGCCTTTCTTCTTTGTGTGTATGCAGAGAGTATGAGCTCTTTGGTGTCTCTTCTTAGAAGGACGCTAATCCTGTGGGATCAAGGCCCCCACCCTATGATCTCATTCAACCTTAATTACTTCCTTAGATACCTTATCTCCAAATAAATACAGCCACACTGGAGGGTTACAGCTTCAATACATGTATTTTGGGGGGACACAAACACTAAATTCGTAACAGATGGCATTTACATAATGGTTGAGGGTCTGTCTTATGGCCAAATAATGGCATTACTTTTGGTCTCTCTCCTGCTGATGGTGAATGGCTTCTGGTGTATTTGCGTATTCTCCCGCAGCTACTCAGCAGGTGTGCGGGCAAGAGGATACAGTTTACCCTTGCGTAGGTCACTGTACAAAATTTATTGGTGAGGTTGGTGTGCATGTCTCAGGTAAATTCCAACCAATCTGATATAGTTAAGTAAAGATTTTAAACTTATTTACATATTGGCTTTATTTTTCTTTACCTTAGCTGTGTTGGAGTGGAAGAACATCATGCTGTTGACATTGACCTGTATCACTGTCCCAACTGTGCAGTTCTACATGGCTCCTCCTTGAGTAAGTACTAGATGCTCACAGAAAACTGGAGTTCAGTACTTAATGTGCACCTGGTAATACTTCTGTTTCCCAAATTTGGTCATCATGTTGGGGATGAGCTGGAGTCCTGCCCCAGCTCTCCTCTGTGCTGGAAACCGGTCCCCGAGAGTCCCACCCAGAGGAGACGGAGGGTCCAGACCAGGTCTGCTGATACTGTTCTTGCTGAGCTGGCAGACCACAGGCAGGGAGCTCCCACGGCCCTGGAGGGAACCGGCAGCACATAGAAGATGATATTTAGTTTCAGCTTTTTACAAATGCTTCAGAAGAGTAGATTGAAATGTTAATTATTGTTGTACAAATGTGAGAGAGATTTTTAAAGGCTTTGGAATGTGTTATAACTACGTTTTTCCTTTAAAATTTAGACTGCAAATGAGTTTTTGTGACCATTTAACTAAAGGGAAAAACTTTAGGCTTAGCCATTTTAGTCAAGATAAACACTTGAGTCAGGTATAGGTAACCCATATATACAACCCCTTTATTTTGAATGTAGCATTTTTCCTAATTTTTTTTTTTTTTAATTAGAAATTTTGTTCTGAGGTCATGGGCAAGTAATTTTTAAAAAGAGACTTACTAGCAACTGACTGCTCATATATTTTGTTAGAAATGTTAATAATTTACCAAATTTCTTTGTACTAAAGCTACGGGAATGCATTAAAATATTTCCTTATAAAATACAGAGTATCTATTTTGCTGTTATTACGAACTATAAAATTTAAGGTTAGCGAGTTGATAGAATTGTTACATGTGTAATGGGCTAATTTCTTGTCATGAATATTTTTAAAGGTTTCTATTGTGTGTAGCACCGAAGTATATGTACTATGTCACTTGATATAATTATTAACTGAGTGTGATTCTTGAAGGAAGTAAATAATACTGGGCTATTATTTGAAGAAGAAAAGCAGAGCTAAAATTGCTAACAGTTTTAGTTTAGAATTTAAACATATAATCCCAAAATGAAAGAATTTAAATTTAATTTTTATGAAATATTAAGTGTGTTACCATGAGGCAGGATAATGTATTTAAGACACTGCTACATGTGATGTACCCTGTTTTGTTCCCTATATGATTTAATTTTTTAAAAAGCTTGTCATGCTCACTAAATCGATTTCACAATCCATAATGGATCACGACCTGCACTTTGAATAACGATGCATCAGAGAGAAGACGGTATTACCTGGCCCTTCGTGAGCTTCTTGCCCTTGAATAGCAGCTCAGGCATTGGTTATCTTCTGGGCAGAAGTCCAACTCTGAGTGCCCACAGGGAAAATGGCCAAGATCTAGTAATCTCTTTTATCTTGATTTAAGGCTCGCCTTCCCCACCCTCACCCTCCACCCCCAGCTTGGGCAATCCCCTTGGCCCCCTTCCCTCTGCTGTTAAGCCTGTCTTGCTTGCCACCCAGGGTTTCCTGTTCCTTTTGGAGTTCCCCAGGAATCCTTATTATTACAGATACCATCTAGACAGTGTAATGCCCACTTAATATGGTGAATTTAGGCTTTACCCTCTTATGGGAATTAAGAATTCTATTTGAGGACAGGTATAAAAAAAACAGGCTTACACTTAAACATATATTCTCAGTGCTTTTCAGGCACGTGCAATCCAAGCCCAGAACTCTCTCCCTTTTCCCCATGAACACTACTTACATATTTCTTCATTGGCCCCCTTCTTTAAGAGAGTCAGTTAGCTCTTGTAGTGGCTGATGTTACATGTCAAACGTGTTGGCCCAACAGGACGGTTGGAGCGTTCTGTTAACATCCTCCAAGTCAGAACATTAAAAAGGAAACCTTAGAAATCAGGAGCTTACTGGGTACCAGGCACTATGCTAAGTAAGTACTAGACCAGCATTATCTCCTTGCATTATCTCCTTTGATATTTATAACAGCGTGATGTGAGAAAAGCGATCTAATAGCTCTCACATGTAGTCATTTGGCAGAGCTGGAGTTCAAACCCATAGCTGTCCATCCCAGGCTGTTCTAATTCTTGTCTGCTCTGCAAAATGAACATTAAAACAATGTAGCATCAGAGTCACTTACCAGATGAGCAGCCTTTCCTTTCTTTCCAATAATGATGCTCACTGTTGACCAGGGCTTTGAAATAGGCTGTGTATATACACTGGTAAGAATCTGAGTTACTACCACTTTTCTGAAGGCAATTTTGCAATATGTAGCTAGTCTCTTTAAAACTTTGAGTCTTCCTTCTAGCATTTTTAGGAATTTATCTCAAGGAATTAATGGGGGAAACAGATTTATGTATATGAATATTAATCCCAACTTTGAAGAAGGATTCAGGAAGAACTAAGTGCTTAAAATAAAAAGATGAGCCCTGGCCAGTTTGGCTCAGTGGTTAGAGTGTTGGCCTGTGGACTAAAGGGTCCCGGGTTTGATCCCAGCCAGGGGTGCATATTGTCGATGTGTCTCTTTCACATCGATGTCCCTCCCTCCCTCTCTCTCTCCCTCTCCCCCCCTCTCCTCCTCCCTTCCTTCCACTCTCTCTGAAAAAGCAATGGGAAAAATATCCTCTGGTGAGGATTAAAAGAAAAAGAAAAAAAAGATGATTCTAATCTGATGCACCTACATCTGTATCTTAAAATAGTTCTAAGCCACCTTAAATTGCTTTTGAATATTTAATAAGGAGAAAATGGATATAATAAGAAAAGTAAGCAGAATTATGACCCCAGTTGAAAGTAAAATGGTGATATATATCTATATATACGTAAGGAAAAAAGCCTGGAATTAAATACTCTTGAATTTTAGAAGAGATTTTAAATGAGAAAAAATAGCACACAAAGGATGCCTTAATGAGATTTTCTAAGAAGGTTGCTTTATGATTCTCAATTTTTCTCATGAGATTTTTAAAAAATGGAATTTACTCTCTCCTATATTGAGGGTCTGACGGCCATAAATTACCTGGGAATCTTGTTTTGGACTCTTAGGTATGAATAAGTCCATCTGTGAATAAGCCCATCCCCACTGATTATTTAGTGTGACCTTTCCTTGTCCATGTGAGGAATCAGCACTGTTATATTATTATGGTCTCTCCAAGGTAAAGTTTGAAGTAACTTAGACTCATGGCTTGTCCCCCACCCAACATTTTGTTAGGAGAATTTCAAACATACAGGGAAAGTTGAAAGAGTATTACAGAGAGTGCCTCTAAGTCCACCATCTAGATTCTACTGTAACATTTTATGTTACTTGCTTTACCACGTATCTGTCCATGTAGCTATCTCACTATCTATTCATCTTATTTTTTGATGCATTTTAAGTAAGTTGCAGACATCAGTACCAAGCTTAAGAGTGCTTTTCAAACTTAAACATGTATATAAAACTGAAATCTTGCATCAATACCACACAGAATATATGTAGGTGGTACCACCCTGGTGGAAAGAGGAGTGAGCCCCAGAGCTCCTCCCTGGGCCCCTTCCCCATCCTCGAGGGTCCTCAGCACAGCTGGAAATACACACTCACCCCTTCATTTCCACGTGGGAGAAACTGGAACATTATAGCCTAGAGCTAGGGTTAGAAGTAACCATAAAATTACTTATTCTGTGATCCCACTTGTCTTTCTCCAGTTGTGATGCGGTCACCTGCTCCTTTGTGTCAGTGTAGCAATGCTTATGAGGGGAATAAATCTTGACGTAAAAATAGCTTTCCGATGTGGGATCAAAGGCCCTATTCGGAGAGAATGATTTGGATGATCTATAAAAACCTTATTATGACCTAATGTCCTAGTGAAAATCATGATTTTAAGTAATTGTGAGATATTAATGTGTAAATATAGATCTTATAGAAGGCTTCATCTGCTAATTCGAATTCCTTGATTTAATTTAAAAATAATTATGAAATAAAAAGAGTAGATTTAAAAAAACAAGTTAATTGCCTATAGTTTCTCTATTATATAAAGTAAAATTTATTCTTCACCCTAGAAATGCAGTAAAATGTGTTTTTTATTGTACTTAATTTTTATGTCTGATTACATAATGATTAGAAAGTACATAGAATCACTGGGTACCAAATGTTTCTCTTTTTTTTAATCCAAAAATCCAGTGAAAAAGAGGAGGAACTGGCACAGGCACGACTACACAGAAATTGATGATGGTTCCAAACCAGTGCAAGCTGGAACTAGAACTTTTGTGAAGGAATTACGTTCTCGAGTCTTCCCAAGGTATGAAAACCTGTTCTGACTGACCAAAGAAAATCTAAGAACGTTACCTGATACACTGACATTATCTGAAGCAACGTTTTCAAATGTCAGGTTACAACCCATTATTATTCTCAATCAAAAAATGAAATGGAGCCCTGGCCAGGTTGCTCAGCTGGTTGGAGCATCGTCTCATACAACAAGAAGTGGCGAGTTCGATTCCCGGTCAGGGCACATACCTAGGTTTCGGGTTTGATCCCGGTCGGGTTGCATATGGAACGCAGCCAATCGATGTGATGTTTCTCACATCGATGTTTCTCTCCCTCTCTCTCTTCCTTCCTCTCTCTAAAATCAGTTAAAAAAATGAAATGGAAAATATTGGATTATTATAAGTAATAGGACTAAATGAGCATAGTTTCACAGAATATGCATGTGTACTGGGTCACTATGTAAAAATATATTTCTTTTTAAAAAAATTTTATTTTTTAATTTATCTTTATTGTAGAAAATATTACAGATGTCCCTTTTTTTCCTCATTGACCCTGACCCCTTCTACCCCGGACCCACTCCCTGCCCCAACTGTGGATCCCAGTCCAAAACTGTCTGAAATACAGTCATCTAAGGCAATTGTTCCAAGTACTTGGCTCCTTACCATAGCAGCTGGTGCTTCTCTTTCACCGCACCTCACCACTCCTGTTTTCAAACTCTTTTTTTCTTACGTTGTTTTCGTATCTGCCTCTGTCCTAGGTCCACCAGAAGCACCCATACCCATTGCTCAGCCTTTCTGGTGGCAGCAGAACTAGGCTTTTTGACTTTTTAAAGATAATGGAAAGTATTTGAGTTACCTCTGACTCAAAGAGAGTCGACATTATTATACAGCATTTAATCATGCTAATTTAGATCATTCCTTACTCACTGCCTGACGTGTGTTTAAAGTAATAATGCTAATAAGCTTTTACACAAGATCATATCCAGGCTTGTTAAAGAGAGGAAGCACATTTTAAATTTAAATCACACACACGCAACCTATTTTGGAATTATTTCAGATCCTGTAACTATAAAACCCTTTTTCTTCACTGTCCTTAGGATTCCTGTCTCCCTCACCCTTCATCTTTAAACAGAAACATACAGTATAAGCAGCCACTGCTGGCTCCTAAAGGGCTACTGAGAGAAGGAAAACATTGTTAGCACAGTGGTTTCCATAGGACTTTTGTGATAGTAAAGGCCCTATTCTCCAATATTATCCCCTATCAGTCTCAAAGTAATTGGAGAAATGTTTGTTTTCCGTGGTTGCTTTGAAGCCTAGGGCCAGAGTTTTCAGCCTGGCTCTATGCGCTGGCCTCAGAGAGGCTTATGAGTCCCCTAAAACTGTATAAAAATCTAAGGTCGATGTGGGAATGTGCATTTTTCAGGAGGAGGAGCCATAGCTTTCATTTTTTTCAAATAGGTTTGTGACCCAAAAAGTAATGTTAAAAATCCTGGCCCAGTGATTCCTGTGGCTTTGCTGCCAAAGTAGACACAGACGAGAGCAGGGTATAGAGATGATCACACATGTCCAGACCGTAATTACCACTAGTTAAAGGTCATTTAAAACCATAGTGGAGCCCAGCTGGGCGTGGCTCAGCAGTTGAGCGTCGACCTAGGATCTAGGTGATCGGGGTTCGATTCCCGGGCAGGGCACATGCCCGGGTTGCGGGCTCGATCCCCAGTTGGGGGTGTGCAGGAGGCAGCTGATCAGTGATTCTCTCATCATTGATGTTTCTGTCTCTCTCCCTCTCCTTTCTCTCTCTGAAATCAATAAAGATATATTTAAAAAACACACAAAACCATAGTGGAGTGACGATTATTAACTGCATTACACCTTCTTGACGGGATGAACACAGAAGCGTATAACAGGCCATCACTCTCCTATTTTAAGACTTGGCGTTAAGTCTTTTGAGATTCTTTTCTACATAAATAATATTTAAGACATTTATATAGATAGATGTATGGATGTAATATGCATCTAAGTTTTAAAAAATAAAGAGTTGCTATGCATATTGTATGACTTGATTTTTTATTCTGTAGATATTTTTCCATATGCATACAAAAATTTATATCACTACTTAACTGCTGTGTAGTATGCAGCAGTGTGTATGTACACTGTGATTTACTTAACCTTCCCCCAATGATGTATGTTTAGTTTGTCTTGAAAGTATTGAGTGGCTTCTGATCCTGTTAATTCTCTTAAATTCAACCACTCATTATGACTAATTGTAAGCATCCTATTATCTTTTCTACCGTAGTTTACGTGAACATTTACATACTGAAATACATATTTTACTATAAACTAATTTGTTTTTATCTCTCGTTATAGTTAAGGCATTTTATATAATATATATAATATCTATTTTCAATTATATGTGTTGTAGTAATTATGAATTTTACTTTAAAAGGAGCATTATAAAAAAACATTTGTTCTAAAAGGAGAATTAGATGTGAGCAGTTGAGAACCACTGATATAGATAATCAGATAGGATGTGAATCAGCCCATTTCCAGAGGTATTTTTAAACTGAACTTTACAAAGATGACAGTCTGCTCTTTGCCTTCCTTAGTGCCGATGAGATCATTGTGAAGATGCACGGAAGCCAGCTGACGCAGAGATACCTGGAGAAACACGGCTTTGAAGTCCCTATCATGGTCCCCAAGTTAGATGACCTAGGACTCAGGCTCCCTGCAGCTACTTTTTCTGTTATGGATGTGGAACGTCATGTAGGTACGAGCTTGATTCCTTTAAGTACTTGGGAAAAACACGGTAAAAGTAAAAATGATATTGTCTTAGCTGCAGATACTGGGGAAAAGACAGTGGAAAATTGGGTTGGGTCTAGGCCTCTAGCATTCAGGGGCAAGATCTCTGGACCCCGCTTCAGTGGCCTTCTGCTGCCTAGAGAGAGGCCGCGCAAAAGAAGAGATATTTTCAAACCTGTTTTTATATTTATGACTTGGTGATATTGCCATTGAATGATGTCTGGACCTAATTTGTTATTTTGAAGCCCAGAAAGGCATAGGAAGCAAGGGGAAAATCACTCATCCAGTGCAGTACTGTTGCCATTTTTAGTCCTTTTCTTTATTCTCAGCATAGTGTTTGTAGATAAAGCCGACTACATGCAGATCTCATCCCTCGTCAGTGAGAGACAGGGATTACCTGAGGGCAGATCTCAGATCTGCCTTGATCAAAGCCTCGCATCCCTTACAGTGCTTTATCCCCTGCGCATGAAATACCTGAGAACTCGTCCTTTCATTGAGCCTTTGGTTTGACCGTTCCTGTGATAACTGTTTTCACAGAGGAAATTCAGTTAAATGGCGTGACTCCCATTCAGATGATTTGGAGTATTTGATAGATTAGGGGATGAGGCTGAGGTTTAACCTGACCCCGTTTGCCGAGGCAGCCCTGAAAAACGAACATCGTAATGCAAGTAGAGGGGGAAATGTTCAAGCTGTTTGATGGCCAACTTTTAGTATCACAGAGCCCTTCTGTTAATAGAATTGTCTTGCCTCCTAGGTATAAAATAAAGTCTACTGGGCAATACTTTTTAACTTGCATAAAGTTACATTAAAATTTAAAAATGTCATTTACTTGTTTTCTATTTCAGATTGGTTAAGTATTGCTGTATTTTGAATTCTGTCTTGTCCTGTAGGACATTGTAAACTGATTAGGCTTCCTAGGGTGACGATACAGTGGTCTGCAAGCAATACCCCTGGTTTTACAGGAAATTTGTAAATTAATCCCTATCAGAACTCATTTACAGGCACTAATATGAACTGATTTTTGCTTCCTAACCACTAATATTTCCTTGAAGCAGAATATTAGAAGAGAAGACACTACAGGCAAGCAGAAATTGTCCTAGTTCGCTTGTTTCCCAATGACTGATCAGTTTTTCAAAATTATAGAATGTTAGGTGTTTCAGAGGTGAAAGGGAAAAGTCAGCCCCCCCTCATTTTGTACATGAGGAAATGAAATCCAGAGCATGTGGCAGTTTCTACAGTCTAATGCATTTTTGTCTTTACGAGCTGCACATAGAGATCACTGGTGTATAGAAAGCTTTGTAAACATACAAGTTTTTACACTCAAAGTTAATTATGCAGTTCTGTCTTAATTGCAAATTGCTTTCTTTCCTTCAAAAACCATCCCCCTTTTCAGAAATTCCAGTTGGACTTAAAAATTAAGGCTGTAGGAGGACTCTTTGTCTAGGCTCTATATTTTTGGTTAGGGCGTCTATTGATGTAATTTTTAAGCCCAATAATAAGACTATAATTTTTCTCTGCAGGTGGTGACAAAGTGATAGATGTCATTGATGTGGCAAGGCAGGCAGACAGCAAAATGACACTTCACAATTATGTTAAGTACTTCATGAATCCTAACAGACCAAAAGTGTTAAATGTGATCAGCCTTGAATTTTCAGATACAAAGTGAGTAGTTCTGGACATTTTGGGTTAGCCTTCTGAGTGTTAGCTAAATGTAGTTAAATGATCAGTTTATTTTAGTAAGAAGCATAATTGCTACTTCTTAAGCGGTCTAGTGGTTGCAAGGTTGTAAATTTTGCTTTGGCACGCTCAGAGAATATTTAGAAATACAATGAGTTTTAAATTTTAAGTATTGTTGTTAACCTTGAGTTCCAGTTACTCTCTTGGTTTGGGTTGAGATGGGAACTGCCATTTTAAGAAGTTTTAATTTGCATGATGTGGGTGGGTGTGTCTGTGTTTGTTTTTTTAAAGGATGTCTGAATTGGTGGAGGTCCCTGACATAGCACGAAAACTTTCCTGGGTGGAAAATTATTGGCCAGATGACTCAGTTTTTCCCAAGCCCTTTGTTCAGAAATACTGCTTAATGGGAGTTCAAGACAGCTACACAGATTTCCACATTGACTTTGGTGGAACTTCAGTTTGGTACCATGTCCTCTGGGTAAGATTGGGGTATTTCCTTGTTTTCTTACTGATAAAAACACATAGTCCTGTTTCTCCAGGGGTGCATTCATTTGCTGTAAATGACATTGGTAAAGAGGAAAATGTTTGTACTTTTTAAGATGGACCTACCACTTTACCTTTAAGCATTGTGATTTTTTAATCCCAGGTAAAAGAGGAGCTGTGAGTTCTTAATTTATATTTAGATTTTTGAGATTTTTTACCACGATCTTATAAGTTGGTCTCTTGTAGCCTTTTGTCTCTTCCCCCTAGTCAGTTATCACTTAATCCCTGTATCAATTCCTAAGAAGGAGCGAAATTACAGTAATAATAATTGCTTCTGACCTTAAAGTTAGGCTAGGACAGCTAGTTGAATAAGTCAGGAAGAGCTATAAAATACTAATTCTTCTTGGCAGCTTATATGCACCTTCTTTATCTAGAACTGTGCTATTCAATACAGTAACCACTAGCCACATGTGGCTAAATTTTAAATAATTAAAATGAAATATAATTTAAAATTCAGTTCCTCATTTGCATTAAAATTTAGTTCCTCAAATGCTCATTAGCCATACGTGGCTTATGACTATTGTACTGGATATAAAACATTTCCATCATCATAAGACAGCCTGTTGGACAGTGTTGACCTAGAACCAAATCTTCATCTATATTAAATGCTTGCATGCTCAGAGAATATTTAGAAATACAATGAGTTTTAAACTTTTAAGTATTGTTGTTAACCTTGTTGCGCATCAGCAATGCTCTGTCCTGTAGTATGTGACTCTATGTCCTTGAACTCTGTTTTCTTTTCTCCATGACAAGCAAAGGGTTAGTTCATTAAAGGAAGCTGATTTGTAGGTCTTTAAGAATAATCATTATATTATAGATATTAGGAGAAAGGACAAAGTTTGCAGAACTGATTCTCTGGGGTCTGTTAACATGTTATTTACCTCTGTACCTTGAAAATGAGGTCAGTAGGACGTTTGTGATACTTTTACCCTCCTCTCTCGTGACTGTTTCTCCAATGCTAGTTTTTTGACTCCTTGTCATATTTTGGAGGGGAGCTTTAGCTCCTGTGAAGATGCTTAAGGGCAGTCTCTAATGGTCAGGTATGTGAAATATGTCTTTTTATGCCTAAAAAATCTGATAATTATCTTATTTAATGTAGGTCATTGTATTGGGAAATTGCGTCAATGTTAAGCCATCTTAAGAATGGCTTTTTCTTGTCAATAACAGTGTGATTACTTCCATTTAGGGTGAGAAGATTTTTTATTTGATAAAGCCAACTGATGAAAATTTGGCACTCTATGAATCTTGGAGTTCATCTGTGACCCAGAGTGAGGTGTTCTTTGGAGATAAGGTGGATAAATGCTATAAATGTGTGGTAAAGCAGGGACATACCTTATTTGTTCCTACAGGTAAGGTTTTAATCCCACTCCCCACCCCCCCACTCCCCATTGTTGATACTCGGTCACAGGGAGTCAGCTTTTGATGAGAAACTCTGGCTTGAACATGTTTGGAAAGTAGCTTTGCACAGCCTGAGATCCTGGATTTTCACTTTTTGCCCTTTAGAGGGCTTCCCTTATAGTTGGGACTTGTTTTCTTATGGTGTTTTGTGTCATTTTCCTTCATTTTGATTTTGTTTAGATAAAGTTCACATACTGTAATATTCATCCTTTTAAGGTGTACACGTTAGTGGTCTTTACATTTGATCTCAGCCAAGAGTCCGAGAAGCGATCAAGTCAGTGGTTTTTCGTAGATTAACAAGGTGGTGCAGCCTTACTGCCATCTAATTCTAATTTCATCACCTCAGAAAGGAGCCCCCTGTCAGTCAGCGGCCACATCTCCATTCCCCCTCCTTTGAGCCCCTGACAGCCACTGATGAACTTACGTTTCGATTCTGTGGATTTGCCTGGCTTAGACATTTCATACGTGTATGTAGAATATGTGGCCTTTGTATCTAGCTTCTTTAATTAGCATAGTGTTTACTAGGCTCATCCTTGAAGCATGTACTTTATTACATTTAACGGCTGGCTGACCTTCCATTGTGCAGATAAGCCACATTTCATTTGTCCCTTCATTAGTTGAAGGGCATTTGGGTTGTCTCCACCTTTTGGCTGTTATGCCTTGTGCTGCTTTGAACATGTGTGTAAAAGCTTTTGTGTGAGGTATTTCGTTTCCCTTGGTTATATACCTAGTCTGGAATTGCTGGGCCATATGGTTGAACGACATTTAGCTTTTTGAGGAACTGCCAAACCGTCTTCCAAATGGCTGCACCATTTTACACTCCCCCCAGCAAGGTACAGTGTGTTCCATTTCTCCATATCCTCACCAGTACTGTGATTAGCTTTTTCGTTTTTGCCACTTTAGTGGGTGTGTAGTGGTGACCTCTCACTGTTTGGTCTGCACTTCCTTAGCAAGTAATGGTGCTAAGCGTTTTTCTCGTGCTTATTGGCCACTTGAATATCTCTTTGGAGAAATGTCTATTGAAATCCTTTGCCCATTTTTAAGTTGGGTTATTTATCTTTTAATTGTTGAGTTGTAAGCACTCTTTGTATATTCTGTATATTAGACCCTTATCAGACGTATAATTTGCAAATATTTTCTCCCATTCTGTGGGTTGTCTTTTTACATTTTTGATAATGTCCTCTGCACAGAATTTTAAATTTTGATAAAGTTCCCTTCAGCTTTAACTGGCCAGCTCTGTGTTGCTATGATGGGCTGAGCCAGCAGTAAGACTCTGGGCTATTGTCCTGGGACAGTTAAGAGCATGTTTTGAGGGACCCGAGGAAGGAACTGAGTACCAGCGTTAGTTGTAGCTCAAGTATATGTATCAAGCGTGTCATTTTGAGACAAATGGAATGCAGGGCTCTCCAGGCCAGGATTTAGAATTGTGTTAGTCTGATTTGAGTGACCGTAAAGGCTGCAGAGTTCACAGGGATTTGTTACCACAAGCCCTGCCTTGTTGTTTTGCTTTCAGTGTATGTAATAATAAATAAATATGTATTGATTAAATGAATGAGTAAGTGCCTGGAACTACCAGAATTTATGAATCTAGATAAATATCATTATTTTCATTGTGAATGGGCTAAGCTCCTCCCTTAAATTTTCTTCCCAGTGCTCCCTTTTATAACAAACATTTGGTTATGTTCTCTTCAAAATCTTGAATTCAAATTCATTGATGCTATAACCTCCTACACCAGTTATTTAAAAAAATTGATGTAATGGCCTAACTAGAATATAAAGAAGATATTAAAAAGTAATTTATAATGAATTACTTTTTCAAAATGTGCTTGCTTAGGCGCAGCAGCCTTAAAGACTAAACAAAATTGTTCCATGCATAGGTCAGCAAAACCAGTACAGGTGTACGATTGGAAACTCAGTTTCTATAGCGATGTTGTGTATGAATGGTTCTTAAAGTTTACTGAGCATCAGTCACCTGGAGGGCTTATTAAAGCGCAGATTGCTGGGCCTCATCCCCAGCACACGATTCAGTCGGTCTGGGATGAGGCCTGGGAATTTGCCTTCTAACAAGTTCCTGACTGATGCTGATGCTGCTGGTCTGAGACATGGAGAACCACTGCTATAGGCATTGCAGTTTTTTCCAAGGTAGTTGGCAACTGATAAACTTCCAAACAAAGTACAGTTTCCTTCAATTTACAGAGTAGTTGTATTCCTGGGAAATTATGCCAAAACCATGCAAAAATTACTTTGTTTACGTATATAATGGAGTTACAGTTTTTAGGCTTGGACAGTTCATGGCAGACTTTGTACTAAATGAATGCCCAGCAGAAATTCCTAAGTCCTGAGTAATGTAGTGCACTTTCTTACTGTGTGCAACTGGCCTGCATTTTGCACCCCTGGCTCCCACTCATGAAATGACAGTAGTGCCTCCTGAGCTTTGTGACAATCAAAAGAAGCCCCCAGACTTTCCCAACACCCTCTGTAGGCAGTATGCCTCTTTGAGAACCATAGGATTTGTAGCTGACAGACTTCTAATATGTGATTTCAGGGTCAAGCTCCAGGCTTTGTGCCTCTTGAGCACACAAATGGGCACTGCTTGAAAGTCAGTCTTTGAGGAGTTTTATGATCTTGTGTCACAGCACAGTGAGGGATCAAAAGATGAAAAATACAAAGAAAATGGAACCTACTTTAACAGCTAATTTTTGTATGCAAATGTATTTGTATATGTTTATTTATACTTACATGAAGTCTATGTTTAGTCTGTGGACATTTCTTTTAAAAGCTCAGCGTCATCTCTTAGACATGTTTCTCATTTTGAAAATATTTTTATGGGAAAATAAGAAATCATTTTGATTGCCAACATTTATATTTATGGGACCTAAGCCCTCCATAATGAAATGTGGGTGATCTACCTTTTCCTCCATAGAGGCAGGTATCCGGTCGCGTGCCACTGAGCCTTCTGTGCTTACTCTCGAGGGCAGTCATTTCAGATACTGGGGACTGAAGTGCTCAGCCAGTCTCGGTGTTCATGGAAAGGAAATGTGCTTGCCTTATTCTAACCAGATTTGACTTGTCTTGGAGTAAAATCTTTAATATAAAGTTGGATTTTTAAAAAAAATACTAGAACAGCAACAACCACAAAAACCTTCACCTATTTTGTACCATGATTTTGTCTAATTGGATCAGTGTATTTGTTTCGTCAAAATCAGCATGAGCCTGGCATATAATATAGGCCTTCAATAAATATAGGGTGTCCCCCCAAAATGTATACACACACTTTGAATAATTATAAAAGCAGTGTTATTAAACTACATTTTATTTTCAAAATTGAGCTATCAGCTGTTAAAGTGTGTATACATTTTTGGGGCACATCTGTATTTGAATGAACGAATCTGTAGATTTTATAGACATTAACTTTTCTAGTGCTGGAGTATGAAGTAAACTGATGTTGATATTTTAAGTTTCTTATTTCACAGGTAGATATTGCATTTGTTTGCTTTAAGTATTGAGAAATCACGGATTTATAAACTTTTAACCCTTTCAGGGTGGATTCATGCTGTGCTCACTTCTCAGGATTGTATGGCTTTCGGGGGGAACTTCCTGCACAACCTTAATATTGGCATGCAGCTCAGGTTGGTGTTACAGTATCTAAAGGATCTTTTGTCCTTTGTTAAGTAGGAAATTATTCCAGTTTCAAAAAACTAAATTCAACACATATTTTAATTGAGATCTCATGGAGATAGGCCCTGAGAAATTATTAAGAATAGGAACTTTGAACAAAAGCATTATCTTAAAGTTTTGTCAGGAGAACACCTTGATTCATTTCAAATCTAAAATTAAAATAATAATATGTTCAATTTAAGACAAAATATCTCCCCAAATTTCAAAGTTCTGAAAAAATGTAAGGACTCTCTTCTGGCTGTTTTAACAATGAGGGAAATGAACTAAGTCCAGTCGTACTCAGGTGTGACTATGGTGCTGGGGAAGCACCCTGAGTCTGGATGGCTGTCAGAGCACCTCCTCTGATTTGACTGTGGGGGAAGGGTTAACAGCTCCTTCCATTTCTGTGTGAGAATTTGACCTTTTGCTAACTCTGTGCCCCTGGTAGCCTGATGAGAGGAGAATATTACTAAGCAGCACTTCTTACGGTGCACTGACTGCTGGTTGACAAACACACCAGGACTGGGATCACTAGAGTACCCAGTAGGAAGCTGTGTGTTTGGGCTTCCCTGAGCGTGGTGACTCCTGTAGCTTGGCTTGCCTTGCCTCTGGGGAGCCCTGGATGCTATGTGCCTGTGGAGTTATTACAGGAAGCACTGGCTCTTCTTACCAGGCATGAAGCTGTAAGCCAGGACAGCTCCACACTACTACCAGGTGTGAATCTTGTTACTTTATACCTGGGCTGTCCCCGGAGGAAAAGGGGCTCCTGGCTGTGTGGACTGCTGCAAGGACTCCCTCAGAAGACAAGCACTGTGGCAGCTGTGGTTCCTGTCTCCTCCCCTTGACCAGCGCCAAGTGTGGTCTTGAGCTTGAGTGCTTAGTAGAAACTAAAGAAAACCTGAGTGGTTGTTGCAGTGTCCAGCACATGGAGTTGACTTGTAAACATATTGTCTTATTTATTTTAGCACAACCCTTGTGAAATTCCTTCTGTTAAGACTGGGATAAAAATCCCAAGGTATGATCTTTTTGAAGGGCAGTGCAGTTCTTCAGTATACTGTCAAATCTGTTAAGGTCAGACCTGGATAAGATCACAATTCAGTAGTATCCAAATGTTGTATTAAGTAAAATGCAGTACTTGATTGGTCTTACATGTCAGGCCTGCTTATTTTATTTTCCTTAAGTTGATTGCCTTTATTTAGCTTTGAAATGCTAGTATTAATATTAAATTTCTTCAAATTATATTTATTCAGGTGTTATGAGATGGAGAAAAGGCTAAAAACACCAGATCTTTTCAAATTCCCTTTCTTTGAAGCCATATGTTGGTTTGTAGCCAAAAACTTGCTGGAAACCCTGAAAGGTAATTAATAATCTGTCCATCTTATTGTGTGATATGATGCATGATGTTTGTAAGTTCACTAAAAGCCATTGATAGACCCTTTTTCAGTATGGTGTCCCTATTTTGTTTTTTTAAATGTATGATTACCCCCTGCCAAGAACCTTTTGAGCAAATTAGAGTCTCACGTCCATAACCTTAAAAAGCAAATGTATGAGGAGTTGCATCAGAACAGGTAATGTTGAAAACGTTCATTTCACCTGGGACTCAGTGGCCTGCCTGCAAACACTGTTAGGCATGTAAAAGTGCCTCACTTGCAAAATGCAGTTTAAGCCAAGAGACTGTTATGTAACATGTGTTCCCAAATATTTGCTTTTAAAACACAAGGGCATAATTTTCGTGTCCTGAGAGAAACAGGTAGTGCCTGTGCCATTGCTGTTATGCCCATTAGGTCGGCCAGTACAAGGCACCTGTTAGCATAAACCAACTGTCAGGCTCTGAGGAAAAATGTTTGTCTTTTTTTGGGGTGGGGTGGGGGTGTTTGTTATCCTTTCATTTGAACTTGAAAGCTACCTTTTTTATGTGGAATTTCAGATTTGGTGTCTTTTGGTTTAATAACCTTTGAGCTATCAGGTTGGAAACTGAATATCATTTTTCCTTTTACTCATTTTTTTTTTTTTTTGCTTTTCATGCATTTGTGTCCTTGAGAATACAATTCATCTGGTTTTGTGTTGTCTAACTTGTCCAATCCATTTGCAAATAGTGCTACTGTTATAATTTACTCCCAGAAGAAGCAGATTAAACAATAAAGTCTATCCTAAAGATTTGTTCCTTTTTCCATTTAAAAGTTACACAAGAAGAAAAGGTGAAATGAAAAGAAACAACCAATAACTTGCTTCCCAGGGTAGTATGCAGAGAATTAAACGATAAAACTTCTTTGGTTTCTTTGCTCAAAAGAAGAAGGGCTTGCTCTCTTTGGGAGGAAAGCGGAATAACCCATCCCACACCTGGTGCGGGTCAGCGCGCTGTCCTGCCGGTGGCGCAGGCGTCTGATGGCGGGAGCAGCCATGGGTCAGGAGGAACAGGTGCTCTCTGCCCAAGACCAGTCTCTTCTCCAGAAACACCTCCTTATCCTGGGTCCCTGGCTATTCCATGTTTTCAGGTGTTTTTCGTGGCTGCAGGGGTGTCACAATGGATCATAGAGTTGCCATCTATAGTTTCCAGTAAAATTCCAGACTTTAAAGTTCATAGTCTCCTATCCAAGTAGAAGCCTAGACAAGTAGGAACACTTTTAAATACTTATAAAAACACTTATAGATGTTTTTGTTTTCTGGAAATAAAACCCAGTAACTGAACCCTCCAGATTAGAGATTGGCAATTCAGTACTCAGTAAAGTCAGAGCACTTTTACCGTCTTGTCCTATCTTGATAGTGTACACATGCGCACACTGCTCCCTGGGGTGATGCTTTTCCCTAATGTCTACGAGGGGCTCATCAAGCAGCTTTTTAGAACAAATGAAGAGTCTATCTGAAAGACAAAAATCTTGCTGTTCTTGCAGTCACAAGCAGCAGATTGCTTAGTCTTTGAATGATTTAGTCTTTGTTTTAGGCCATTGAGAGTTCGGAACTGTTGAAGTCGGATCGAAAACATAACCCTATACATTAAAGTTAAAAAAAAAAGTTACTGTGAAAAGGATATTTGCAGGTCAGACTTTAAAGTGTTTTCATTTCATCTGCCAGATCAGTACAGGATACCTGGCAATACTAGCGTGTCAGTCCAGTCTGCTGAAGATAGAGCCAAGGGACCCTTCTCCCAGTGCCACATCCTGGGCATTCGTCTTGTTACCCCGTGTTATATTGGCCTTTCATCCCTGACCTTTTAACTTTCCATGTGGCCTGTCATTTGGCAGCTCTCAGACTGTTACAGGCTTATATGATGGGTTATGAGGGTGGGCTGTATGAAACTCTTAACTGAATTGTGTCAGTAATAATAAAACAGTGAACAAATTTGGGGTTTATGTAAGTAAATTAGCTACAGGGAAGAAGTGAAATCTTTCACTTTTGCTTCAACCTGCCTGAGTTGTAGACCACATCTAATGCGTTTTATATGAGTTTTAGATAATCGATTTGGTTAAAAAACCCAGAAGAGACACTTGTGGGTGTGGGTTTGTATTTACCTTTACAGTAGTGAAGCATTTCATGCCCATAGTCAAGTGTATGGATCACACACTACATACACATACTCTCTCGTGCAGTGTAAAGAATTATAAGGCGAGCAGGACAGCCTTGCCAGGACCATACTCATGCCCCTTGCTTTCCCCGGTGTACCTCCTCCTTCCCTTCAAGAGAGAACCACTATCCTGACTTTCGTGATAACCCTTTTCTTCTGCTTTGTCACCTGTGTCACAAACTAAAATAGTTTAATTTTGTACATTTTAGATGTCATATGACATTGTTTTGTGACCCGTCTCTTACTCAGCATTATGTTTGTGAGCTTTCTTTTAACTTGAGCATTTAGTAGTACAGTGACATTTCATGTAATTCTGTTTTTCTCGTTCGTTCTTGCTTTTTCAATCGTTTATTCACTTTTTTCCTTTCTCTTAATTTGGAAGTCACACGCAGCTTGATATTTGATGGTTACTGAAAATCTAAAGTTAGTCCCTTGATCTTCAGAACACTGAACTCTTTTTCCTGCCTCCTCTATCCCCACAGAGCTGCGAGAAGATGGTTTCCAGCCTCAGACTTACCTGGTGCAGGGCGTGAAAGCTCTGCATACTGCTTTAAAAGTGTGGATGAAAAAAGAAGTAAGTGGTTTTCTTTGGTGAAATCATTGTTATTTTCTGTATGGTAAGATTGGGAGAGCAGAGTCCTCGGGCTGTGAGGCACAAGTGGCCGCAGTAGAGGGCCTAGGAATCATGCTTTAAATACAGCCTGCGTCTATGATACGGTAGACACAAATGTACTGGTTTATATTTCTATGAGAATCAAGTACCTCAGTACTTCTTTAAGCTTGAAAAGAAAGTACGGTGGCACCTCAGCTTTCAAATGGGATCGGTTCCGGAAGACTGTCCAAGTTCTGAAACGTTCGGAAACCGAGGGATCCACAGCCGACAGCTGGAAGCCCTCAGTGGAAGCCGTGGGGCATGTTCGACTTCCGAGGCGTGTTCGAAACTCGAAGTATTTACTCCGGGTTTACGGCGTTCGTAACCCGAAATGTTCTTTCACGGAGACGTTCGAAAACCGAGGCACTGCTGTGAATCGTGTAGCGAGGGTGTTGACTAAGAAATGAACATGCAGATGAAAAATAGTAATGAATAACTGAGCTCTCAGAGTGTGCTGACCACTGTGCTGAGTCTTTATAGCCATAAACTAATTCAGTCCTCAGCAGCTGTGTGAGGTCTGGGTGCTGCTGTCAGCCCCATTTACGCTTGGGGAAGCTGAGGTTCAAGGAGTTTAAATAACTTGCCGGAGAGAACTGGTGGAGCTACAACTTAAATCCAGATCTCTGTGACTGCAAAGCCCATGCTCTTTCCCTCTGCTAGACTTAGGTAAAAATGAAAGAAAGGAGGTTGGGGTTCAAGTAGGAGCTTTCCATTTTCCCTAAGATGCGGTCTAGTTGTTTGCATTTGAATCCCACCTCCTCCAAGAGGTCATCCCCGATTTCCATTTGGAATTGGCATGCCCTTCTCTTATGATTACGTAGCACATTTTTTGCGCCAGTAGACTCAGATTATTTCAGGGCCTGTGTTGGCTCTTACAAATCCTTATATATTATGAATTAAATGTTAGTATTAATTAGTTACTTTACTGATTATAGTAGTAGTTATAAGTAGAGTAGGCTTTGAGGTCTAGAGTACAAGGGTACTCAATATAAAGTCCATCTTTAATTCAATCTAAGAGGATTTTATAAATCAGTGAGGATCTTCGTAGAAGGTACCACTACGTGAACTCTGAGACCTGGCTTATTAGCATTTAGCTGTGCCTATAAGATCTGGAGAACCCCAAAATTGGTTTAATAAATTAGTTTTTTACATATTAAAATGTAAGTAACATTGGTTGTTTTGTCTTTGATATTCCAAATACAGCTTGTATCCGAACATGCCTTTGAAATTCCAGACAATGTTAGACCTGGACATCTTATTAAAGAACTTTCTAAAGTAATTCGAGCAATAGAGGTAAGAGTAGAAACTGTCGTCTAAATTCTTGGTTATTATCTGCTTTGAGAAGCAAGTGGCTCTACCACCACACTACAAACATCTGAAAGCTCTTATGCACTTAAAAAAATGGAATGAGCTTAGTCTTAGAAGCAGTCTTGGGTTCCCAGGTTCCTAAAGTCCTAGAGAGAAAGTTAGAGGGTTGTGTCATAATGAAGTCATAAGGAAGCAGTTACCAGGTTACTTCAGGTTACTCCAAAAATAAAAAATACAGACTTAAAAACCTTTCAGATCAAGTTCATTTCAGCTGTGCAGAGGTGAGTGCATGTTTAGTAATTAGAAAATGAGAGGAAAGGTGAAGGAGAGTGAGCAGCGCTAGGGGAAGCTGGGTCGGAAAGAGGGAAGGTATTGGTAGGTGGGGCCAGGAGAGCCACTCGATTGGAAATATTAGAACAAGTTGGTTAGGCAAATGCCCTTTGATAAAAGCCCACAAAATCTGAGATTAGTTAATTCATCAATTAGGAGCTATTTTAGGTATTAAAGAAAAGAGGTTTTAATTAAAGTAATTATTCAAGAAGATGGTTCTATTAGTGTCTGGCTTGAACTGAAAGGAAGAGTAGATTTTCATGCTATGCTTATAGAATTTTAATTTTTCAAAACTACACAGATGTGTGACTTTGCTTTAAAAAGCAGTATTGATTTATGCAACAACCTGTGTGAAAGAATGTACATCATAGGAAAGAACTGGAAGCTGCCTAACTAACTCCCAGTAACTTTTAGGTCAGTAAATCATGCTGTAGATATACACTGGATGGAATACTACACAGCCTTTAAAATGATATTGAAAATCAAGGCAATATGTTCACAGTATATTATTATGTGGGGGAGAGAAGGAGATAAAGGTCTCAGCAAGCTGTTTATCTTATGATGTGGTCTTTTTGTGTACATAATTGAATGGAATGACTTTTGCTTTCTAAAATACTTTTATGGCAGATGCTTATTCAGGTATGAATGTAGCCTTGTTGTGAAACTCCTTTGATTTGTGTTCTTGAAGGAGGAGAGCGGCAAGCCAGTGAAATCTCAGGGAATCCCTACTGTGTGTCCAGCTTCACGGTCCTCGCATGAAGCAACTTCCCCGTACCTTTCCCGACGAAAGATGAGGAAACTCCGAGATCATAGCATCCGAACTCCTTCTAACCTGGACATCCTAGAGCTCCACACGCGGGAGGTCCTCAGGAGATTAGAGATGTGTCCATGGGAAGAGGCAAGTACTATGTTCCAGGATTGCAAAGGGAGACTTGGTTGTTCCTTAAAGCTCTTTAACAGGACACTAAAAGGAGAACAGCCGGCCATTCTTGTTGTCTGACCTCCTGTTAGCATTGTAGGGTCAGGGGGTGCTCATGCCCCGGGCGGGGCCGGTGCTTCAGCTTTCTGCGCGTCGGCATGGTGTAGGATGGCTAGATCTCGTTCATTTGCTGACATGCTGATTCAGGTTTACCAAGGCCTTGCTCTTACAGGCTCTAGAGCAGATACCAGAGTGAGGAAACTTAAGTTCCTGCCCTCGTGTAGCTTCCATCCTGGCTCAGGTTGGAAGGATGGGAGACAGAGACGTATGTTAAAATAACGTAATTTCAGATAATTATGAAGGAAGCCAGAACAATAGAGCAATACAATAAAGGGGCTGGGGTGGCCCACTACCTTAGCTAGGGTGGTTAGAGAGCTCTCAGGTGGTGACATCTGAACAGACACTTAAGTAATGGGAAGAAGTCAGATGGATACACAGAGTTGAGGCGAAGTATTGCTGGCAGAGGAAAGAGCAAGTGCAGAAAGCCTATCCCTGACCCAGCAGCATCAGCATAGGTGACGGTTAGAATAAACCCATTAAAGTCTGAGAAATGCTGGCCTGATGGACAGTGGCAGGGAGGGGCACACAGTAATCCAATCAGTGCAGGGCCTTGTGAGCATGGTCATGAGTTTGCAATGAGATCTGTATCGTCCATAATTTTACACCTTAAGTAGAGGATACGCAACAATTTAAAATGAACAAAATAGAGGTATCCCTGAAGTAAAATATTTTTAAAAGTTATATAGAAATTTTAACTTTCTCAAATATTTTAAATGGTATGTAATTGTATTTATACTGTTTTCAGATTTTGTTGTTCTAAACCTCCTGACCCCATAGCCATGTGAGAGGAGATCTAGCACATTGTGAAAGACTCTGTTTATTATTAGGAAAAAGTTACCAGGAAAGGAAGTATTCTATATGTATTAAAAGCCAGCTCCTGTGTGCCTTTACACCACATGGTGGCCTTTGTTACTGGGGACAGCAGGGTGGTGACCTTTGAGCTGCTGCCAGTGCCCTGGGAAGCCTAGGGCTTTGGTGAAAGGCGGTGAAACTGGGAAGCACAGCAGCTAGCACTTGGGCAGGAAGGAGCCAGGGAGAGCAAATCACAGTACATGGGGAGCGCCTCTCCAGCCCTCCTGCTCTCTGCAGGAGAGAAATGTCTGGGTTTGCTGTATGCACATTTTATATGCCACTTTAAGAATGTGTTATTGTGAATGGCCCTACAGAGAGACGAACCACACTCCCGCTTTGGCTCGAGGAACCATTTAGTGTTGCTGGCGCACGCCGCGTGTCCCCGGCGTGGGTGGCTGCCCAGTGCAGTTTGGGATGCAGGGCTAAGTGGGGGTGGGGGGGTGGTACACTGTATTCCTTTAGTGAAGCAGGTGTAGTTGAGGGCGGAGATTAAAGTTCTGTTTTTGTACTTTAAGGACATCTTGAGCTCTAAACTGAATGGTAAATTCAACAAACATCTCCAGCCATCTTCTACGGTACCTGAATGGAGAGCGAAAGATAACGATCTGCGGTTACTGCTGACAAATGGCAGGATAATTAAGTACGTAACCGGATCAAAGTGCCCCCGATTGGCCTCAGGGGATGCCCTTGTTCGAGGAGCCCCCAGTCCGTGCTGCTGCACAGCCGCCCGGAGGGTGGGCACGCAGTTCCCACTCTGTGGAGTAAGGGGCGGAGGGGCTGTGCCCACAGTTGCGCTGCTTTCTGACTCTTTTTCCGTACACAGGGACGAGAGACAGCCCTTCGCAGATCAGAGTCTGTATACAGTAGACAGCGAAAGTGAAGAGGAGACCAGAAGGACAAAAAAGGCAAAAGTGAAGATGGAAGCGGGCTCAGGAGCAGAGGCAGCGGACAGCGAGGCGCCTCAGAGACCGCTGAGCAGTATGTTTGCTTTGCTGGCATCGCAGAGCTCTCTCTGTTACTAATGTGATAGTATGTGGAGTGCCTGCTAACTTTACAGTTCTTACGTTTGCACTAGGGTTGAAAATGTTTGCGTTTCTGATACTCTTGAGAAGTCTGAAGTATTACCGAGTAGCTTACCCGTTAGGGAAATACCGAACGTGAGTGCCCTGAGAGGTGTAGCGCCCAGGGAAGGCACTGACGATGGAGACGTGTGCAAGTCAGTGACACGCCCGTCTGGCGACAGTGTTTACAAGAGTCACATGAAAGCTCATACATTTTATGGGCCTCTATACGGGTCCAAGTTTAATGTGATTTCACAAATACTTGTAGCTACCATGTATATGGTTTTCAGAATTAGGAGACATGTATAATTGGCTGACCTGAAGCTATTGGTAATCCATGTTTTCTTCTTGGTTACCTGTTGACAAGAGGGCCTCTACTTGGTTATTAACTGGTTATCATCAGTGTGACAAATAGCAACACCTCTTCCTCCTAGAGATCTTCAATTTTGAGAAGTAGTTAGATATTTTGGTATCTGACAAGTAAATGTTCCATCCAGATAGTTAACATTATTTAATCCATGTTGAATACCTTAATTCCTGCTATTTCAGGTAAATGTGGTATTGCTGTAGTTGGTAGCTCTGCATTTGTTCACATGCTGGGGGAGGCAGCTAATCAGTGGAACTGATCAGGTGGTTGCTCTGTGGTAGTGCCCAGTGGAAGGAAAGGACAGTGCTGAGGCCCGGTGTAGAAGCTTGTTGAGTTCACTGTCTACCTAAGTGATTTTTAGGCTTAGGAAAGTTACCTTTTTGTTATTTGTTGAGAGAAATAATGCAAAAGGGAAATTGAAAAGTTTCAGTTTCTTGTACCTCATGTTAGTGTTGGAGGTTTTTTCTGGAAAGAAATATTTTTAAAATTTGCAAATAAGGAGTTTATAATTATGTTCAACAAGTTCCAGAAATGTTTTTAGAATACACTTCAGTCTGCATCTTGGCCAGTTGGGGAGAAAGTCCCTGGGGCTGGGGGAAGAAAGAATGAAGAGGTGAAAGCAGACAAGAGGATAGAGCAGGAGTGATGGAGACAGCAGAAGCTGGACAGGCCTCAGATAGCACCCTGCTCATGCCCTTCTCTTTGTCTCCTTCCCCTTCTCAGGGTTTTTTACAAGTGTGAAATCAGAACTCAGGAATCGAGCATCAGAATATTCTGATATTTCTGATTCAGAAGACTCTGGACCTGATTGCATTGCACTGGTACGCCTGAAGCCTGTGGCCTGTGGGCTATTCGACGTAAAAATGAACACCCACTTCCTCCACACGCGCGCGCACACACTCACACACACCATGTGACTGTTTACATCGGATAAGTGTAGCTTTGTCTGATTTTCAAAAGGGTGGAGAGAGATACTGTTCTTATGTTTCTCATATTTCTCATAGGTTATATTTCATCTTACTTTAAAGAAAACCTGTACTGTGTGTTTCTTACTACAGAATTATGTTACTATAGTTGCTAGAGATTTTTACTTTTTTCATATGAAAAAATTTCATGATAATTAAGATTCTAACTTTCCCTAGACAGATAAAGTATTTTTTGTTTGTTTGTACAGACTTGGTCAGATTTCTTATATAGCTTTGCTTTCATTTAATTATTATCTCAGAAAAATAATTTTACCACTGAAGAGTCTGAAAGTTCAGGTGATGAAAAGAAACAAAAAATAACATCAAATTTTAAGGAGGAATCTAATGTGATGAGGAACTTCCTTCAGAAGAGCCAGAAGACATCTAGAAGTGAAATTCCAGTTAAAAGGTAGGTTTGCTGACAGTACAAGTCTTATGACATTGTGATATAAAGGATATGAAAACATCGTTTTAGTTTAAAATTTTACCAAATGCCATTAGACTAAACGGCTCTTGTCCTTGGTGATCTGCTTTTCAGGGAATGTCCTACCTCGACGAGCACAGAGGAAGAAGCCATTCAGGGCATGCTGTCCATGGCAGGGTTGCACTATTCCACGTGTTTACAAAGGCAGGTGCAGAGCACAGGCTGCAGCCGCGAAAGCAGCTCTCTCCAGGACCCCAGCAGCTGCCACAGCAGTAACCACGAGGCTAGGCCGCTGTATCGCTGCGACAAACCAGTGGGATGTGGTAAGGAACGCGGATTAGCGGGGTCTGAAAAAGTAACCCACGACCCCCAGTTTAATAGCTCTGTAATCCTAGTTGAGGTTAGAGATTATGAATAAGAAACTGTTGCACATTTTTAGTTGGAAATGGTACTTACCATATTGGCCAAAAAATATCGACAAATTATGTAAGGTGCAGGCATAAGAACCCAAAACGTAAATCAACTGGGATTGATAGTCATGTTCACCAGCATAATTTTATCATTGCTATTGAACAATAGTATCATTTCCCTTTCATAAGTTGATCAGAGTGGAAGGAATGTTTGATGCTTTATTTTTTTCTTTTTTAATTATTTTTTGTTAACCCTCACCCGAGGATATTTTTTCCATTGATTTTTAGAGAGAGTGGAAGGGAGTGGGGGGGGGAGGGGGGAGAGAGAGAGAAACATTGATGCGAGAGACACATCAGTTGGTTGCCTCCAGCACGCACCCTAACCAGGGCTGGGGATTGAACCTGAAACCCAGGTACATGCCCTTGACTGGGAATCGAACCCGGAATCCTTTGGTGTGCTCTAACCACTGAGCACTGAGCCACACCTGCCAGGGCCTTTAAATGGTCTGTTAAACTTGAACAATCACCCTTTTTTTCTTTTGTGGGAGGGAAAACAGGTTGTGAGCTTTCTGATTGAGGATATTCTTTTTCCTGCTTGAAGAGGAAGTGTTAGGAGAGAGAGGAGACTCTGTGGCAGTATCAGGGATGCCGCAGTGCTTTCTTCCCTGTGCCTTTAAGGGAAATTTTGTTTCCCTAAACGTATGAGGAGGACTGGGGAGAAGCTGGTATTATGTTGAAACCAAATGCCTACTATAGCAGTTGTGTTCATTCTCACGCAGTTAAATGTCAACTATGTACCAGGAGTTTGACATCATTTCACTTAATTCTTGAAACAGCATTTTGTTGTAGGTAATATAACTTTACAGGTAAAGGAAATAGACTTGGTGAAGTTAATTTAACTTCCCCATACTTATATAATTAGTATTCACTGGTGTTGGAATTTGAACCCAGGACTGTCTGACCCCTTTGCTTATTACCTAAGAGAAAACTGAGGTTTAGAGAGATTAAATAACTTGCCTAAAGATACATTGGTAATGAGAGAACTCAGGCAAATCTAGGTCTGTCTGTCCTTCCACTATACCGTTCTGTCTCCCTGTAATCTGTTTGGTCCCGTGAAAAGAAAGCTTCTGTGCAAATACTGTAAAATTCAGACAAACATGCCTTTATTCTATATGGGAAAGTATATCATTTTTAGAGAGTATGTGTTGCATTTGGTTTTACATCTAGCATGTAAGATAGTGAGTGAGCTGGCGACTGTTTTGTTTTTGAGAGGGAAAGAAATGTGATGAACATATATGAATAAATATTTAAAGAATTAACATATTCAGTTTTTAATAAAATACCAACACAAATTTGCTTTCAGTTTTAAGCATTTGGCTAATTTTGTTCTTTGAGATGAAGTCTGTGTGAAGATAACTTGATGAAGGCTTCTCTTTAGGGTACCATGTCAAGACTGAAGATCAGGACTTGAGGAGTTCCTCCTGGGTTAAACAGTTTGATACGACGTCCAGAATTAATCTTCAGGTATATTCAAGGTTTGAAGCGTTAAAAGGAGATTTAGAATTGTCATTAACTCTGGTTTGCTTTCTTTCTATAATCCTCACCTGAGGATATTTTTCCCATTGCTTTTCAGAGAGAGTGGGAGGGAGAGAGAGAGAGACATCAATGGGAGAGGCACATCGGTTGGTTGCCTCCTGCATGCTCCCCGACCAGGGCCAGGGATCGAGCCTGCAACCCAGGTATGTGCCTTGGCTGGAATCGAACCCGGGACCCTTCAGTCTGAGAGCCGATGCTCTACCACTGAGCCAAACTGGCCAGGGCTTTTTTTCTTTCTTTTTTTTTTTAAAACTGCAACTAGTTATCAACCACTAGATCTGGGAAGGTAAAAAATTACAATTAAATGCACATTCGAACAACTCTCCACTTTTAGATATTCTGATATAATGACTAAGGCAAAGCTCATGGATATACCGTGATCTGGAAAAGAATCGTTTATTCAAGAAGTGGTTACAAAATGCTGGCTGCCAACATGAAGGGAAAGAAAAGTACCAGAGGATCTCTTTTTAATCTCTGACATTGTTTCTTGAACATTTTTAGATGCTTAATTTCTTTGAGAATTTGATGAAAGTTATAGATTCTCTTTCCAGAAAAATGATCATCAAAAATACTGACTTTTGCTTACATCTTCTCATGATGTGTGCCTTATCCCTACCCCAGACCACTCACTGACTCCAAATTAGGGACCCCTGCTCTAAGAGAGGACACTTTACGCTGCAGGATCCCAGCATATTAATGCTCATACCAAACAAAATGAACCCCGTATAGCTGCTTTTAAAAAATAAAACTTTTACCAGTAGTACCAAGCAAGGAAAGCAATATGACCTTTTGCTGCAAACCTTGGAAAATGACAGCGAAAGAAAGAATCTAAATTCTCACGTGGCAGAGTGGGGTTCCTAAACCTTCTTGACCCCAAGCATACTCTGAGTAAAAGAATTACGGGTTTTTTTTGTGTCCTTTGTTTGGCTTATTTACATTTTCTAAATACTCACCTATCACTTTTACAGTAAGATAACAAGCCAAGTTTTTTTAAGGCAAAGCTTTGTCTGTACAAGTTCTTTTAATAGACAAATATGCTCCAAATTCAAAGGTCAAGAAAGAAATTCCTTAACTATTATAATTCACTCAGTGTATGATTTTATAGAGCCTCACTGCAGCTGGTCACGAAGTTTACAGCTTCACCATAGGGTTCAGTGTTATGTAAGCTGTTATTTAAATCTAACTGCTGTTTTTATAGTTGTCTTTGAAAATAAAGAAGTAGAGGGTAGATGATTAGCATGATCACCTTAGAGACAATTTTTTTTGCTTATAATTGAGAGACATATCATAGAGGCATGTCAAATCATAACAGTTGTCTCTGTGCTCAAGCATATTTGTAAGATAATTTAAAGCAAGTCCGTGTTTAATGCTGTTTATTTAAAAAAATTTTTTTGGTTGTTTTTTAGAGAGAGGAAGGGGGGGAGAGAGAGAGAAACACTGATGTGAGAGCATAACATCAATTTAGCTGCCTCCTGCACGCCCCCTACAGGGGACTGAGCCCAGGCATGTGCCCTGACTAGGAATGGAACCAGCAACCTTTTGGTGTACAGGACGATGCCCAATCAACTGAGCCACACCAGCCAGGGAAAATGCTGTTTTTAAAACTTATTTAACCATTACAGACTCAGACACATACAGCAAGTAAGGTTAAAAAAAAGAATCAGAGATATATTTTATATAACACACACACATAATTAAAAGTAGTTTTGTGAAACATCACATCTGCAGTATGCCCTTCCTTTTCAAGTTTGTCTTTTACTTTCTCTATTTAACTCTGGTCATAACCCTCTCCATTGATTTTTCAAGACCCACCAATCGGTAGCATTATTTGTTTGTTTTTTCCTGACAGTTCACTCAATAATATTAAGCTGAAGGAAAAAATGTTACAGAAAAACCAGACTTGAGGCTCAGGATCTAAGGATTTTTTTTAGTAACCAGCTTAAATACAGTAGAGATGAACCTTACAGAAGTTAAGTTCTAAAAAAGATAGTACGTTACATCGTGAGCGATCTATGGGAGCTGTGCCATGCTGAGGAGGCAGCAGGCCTGCATCTCGCATCCTCGCCTCCTCTCACGGCACATGCTCGCTGAGTTCAGGATGGCTTGTTGAGATTATGTTCCCTCTCTCCTCTCTCCTTTAGTCTCCCCCCCCCCC